TAGATCAGGGGTCTTTAAACTTGGCCCTTTTATGACTTGTGGACTTCAACTCCCAGAATTCCTCAGCCAGGCATGCTGGCTGAGGAATTCTGGGAGTTGAAGTCCGCAAGTCATGAAGGGGCCATAGTTCCCCCACGCTAGCTGAGGAATTCTGGGAGTTGAAATGCATGAGTCATAAAGGAGCCATAGTTCCCCCCATGCTGGCTGAGGAATTCTGGGAGTTGAAGTCCACAAGCCATGAGGGGGGCCATAGTTCCCCACGCTGGCTGAGGAATTCTGGTAGTTGAAGTCCACGAGTCATGAAGGAGCCATAGTTCCCCCATGCTGGCTGAGGAATTCTGGGAGTTGAAGTCCACAAGCCATGAGGGGGGGCATAGTTCCCCCATGCTGGCTGAGGAATTCTGGGAGTTGAAGTCCACAAGCCATGAGGGGGGCCATAGTTCCCCCATGCTGGCTGAGGAATTCTGGGAGTTGAAGTCCGCAAGTCATGAAGGGGCCAAGTTTGAAGACCCCCCTGCACTAGATCATTAGATGACCTGGTTTAAGGGTCTGTGTAACCTATTATTTTATTAAATGCATAGGCCATGTCTCATTCTAGCAACTGAAAAGTTTACAAAATGATAAAAAACGTGATTAAAATGATGAAAGATTAACTAGAACGCAGACAACGGGGAAGGATCTACTCTCTACTCTTTCAGCCACTCCCAGCATAAAGCATCCCGATTGGGACCCCAAGCCAGCCAGACAGCAGAGCTAGGTTTTAAGACCCTTCTTGAAAGCCGGGAAGTTGGGGGCCAAAGTCACCTCTGGTGGGAGAATAGTCCAAAGGGCAGGGGCCACGACAGAAAAGGCTCTTCTCCTAGACCCCAACAGCCAGAATTCTTTGGCAGATGGGATCCAAAGTAGGACTCATCTGTTGGGAGTGATGGGGTGGGCTAGTCCAGAGGTGGGGAACCTTGGCTCTTTTATGATTCGTGGACTTCAACTCCCAGAATTCCTCAGCCAGCATGGGGGAACTATGGCCCCTTCATGACTGGTGGACTTCAACTCCCAGAATTCCTGAGCCAACCTGGCTCAGTTTGGAAACCTCTCCCTTTCCCCTCAGCATGGCTGGCTCAGAAATTCTGGGAGTTGAAGTCCACCAGTCATAAAAGAGCCAAGGTTGCCTACCCCTGGGCTAGTCCCTTTGGGGTTATACCTTGGACCCAGGCCATAAAGGACTTTAAAGGTGATAACCAACACTTGGAATTGGACCCAGGAGCAAATTAGCAACCCTTGCAGGTCACCCAACAGAGTGTTACATTTGTCACTTGAGGGGCCTCCAGCAAGGTCCCTGCCATGGCTTCCTGGACCAGTTGTAGCTTCCGAATACTCTTCCAGGGCAGCCCCAAGCAGAGCGCACTGCAGCAATCCAACCGAGAGATGATCAGGGCATGAGTGACTGTGCACAGGACCTCATGGTCCAGAGGAAGGCCCAACACGAAGTTGCACAAAGGCTCTGCTAGCCACGACGGCCAAATTTAACCAGTGAACAAGTTTTTAAGCTTCTGAGTAATCTCGTGAGGGGGGCTCCGTGAAGTAACCTCAGCGTAACTAGCTGGCAGGCGTGTAATAAAAAGCAGGATGCAGCCGACTGAGCAAAACAAGAGGAAGGGTGCATGCTTCTGGGCAAATCTCCTACCTGCCTGTCATGGCGTTGCCTTAGAAGTCCCGTTTCCAGCAGGCCTGCACAAAAGAGAAGAAAAAAAGCTGTTAAGGGAGAGAGACACATCAACACAGCTTAGTAAACCTGGTTTGGGCACGCGCGATATTACAATCCCCGTGTCGCACTTCCCCTACTGCAGGTTTGCTCAAGATCTCCATCTGTCCAAAGAGAGAAGCAACCTGGAATTAAGGAGAAACTTCCTGACACTGAGGACAATCAACCAGTGGAACTCCTTGCCTCCAGAAGTTGTGGGCACTCCATCCCTGGAGATTTTCAAGAGACTGGACGTTCCCCTGTCTGTGACAGTATAGGTTCTCCTGCTTGAGCAAGGGGCTGGACTAGACGACCGCCAGGGTCCCTTCTAGCTCTATTCTATTCTTTTCAGTTTAGAAAAGGCATCACTCAAGGCTTAAAATAGTGGGGGTTCAGCTTGAAGACGGGTGGACTTCAACTCCCAGAATTCCCTAGCCAGAATTCTGGGAGTTGAAGTCCATCTCTTTAAGTTCGCAAAACGGAGACATACTGGTCTAAATGCACTGAATTCACACCCCTACCATCAATCTGTGCACCACCCTCTCAAGAAATGCAAGTAGGGGAACCAAGACCCCTGTAGCTCAACCATGCACTCTTTGCACACTCCTTAAGGCAGTGATTCTCAACCTTTTTAATGCCGCAACCCCCAACCGGTCGTAAGTCGAGGACTACTCAACCGGTCGTAAGTCGAGGACTACTCAACTGGTGCAGCACCGTTTGCAGAATGGGACTTTTGGCGGGCTCAGCAGGCAGAGACAGCCTGGACAATTCCTATTGGCTTTTGAAAGCCAATAGAATTAGACTCTATTCAAGAGAGTCTATTCTATTGGCTTTCGAAAGCCAATAGAATAAAAGGGAGTAGCACAGCTAAGGAAAAGGGGAAAAAAATGGCGGACTGCGTTGTTTGGCGACCCCCGTGAAATGGTCGTTCGACCCCAAATGGGGTCCCGACCCACAGGTTGAGAACCACTGCCTTAAGGGCTGAATCCGAACTCATGACAAGGACTTTCCCTCCCCCCTCCCTGCCTCTAACAGCCTTCCCCAAAACCAGAACTGCTCAATATCCCCCCACCAACTGTCCATCCCATTCCTCTACAGAAATTAAGTTACAGGCAGACACCATATTGTAGACTTCCATGTCCTGCAAAAATTCTACTATGCACATTTTGTGACACTTAAAAATAGCCGACAAGGTAAAGGTGGAACTGGCTTGCGTGGGTCAGAATCTGATGTGCAGATGTATACACTTCACACGCCCTGGGCAGCCTGTCTCTTATAGGTGTTTGTAATATCGTCTATTTTTATTTATTACATTTATGGGCTGCATGATTTCACGGTGAAATGTTAAATTAGCAACAGCTTTCCAGAGTTTCAGACATATTTTATTTATTAAATCTGTTTGCCGCCCATCTCACCCCGAGGTGACTTTGGGTGGCTGGCAATATTAAAAATAATAAAATAAATACATGCATGCGTTACCCTCAATGTGTGCAATTTAGGCCTTTTATAGAATGCCTAGGAAATCTACAGAATGCCATAATAGGGAATATTTCACACTAGGTATTCTATGCAGGACCAAAAGGCTCAGGAATTCTGGGAGTTGGAGTCCACGAATCATAAAAGAGCCAAGGTTGCCTACCTCTGCCCTAGGCATTGTATATAGCATAAAAGTCCCTTGTCTGAAGTGGTATAGGGCAGGGGTCTTCAAACTTGGCCCTTTGATGGCTTGTGGACTTCAACTCCCAGAATTCCTCAGCCAGTGTGCCTGGCTAAGGAATTCTGGGAGTTGAAGTCCACAAGTCATCAAAGGGCCAAGTTTGAAGATTCCAAGTCTATTCTAGATATTAAAAACAAGAACAGATATTTCAATCTTTTGCCTGAAAACGTCACATCTTCTATAGTTTTCTCAGGCTTTCTATACGCCAGGAACCTATACAACAAGAATAAACTACTATTAAAATACAAATTATCGGCTATACCTTTGTGCTCACCAGCTGTGCCAGGTGAGCACGCAAAATACTAAGATGTTGAGACTCTGGAAAGAGTGTCGAGAAGAGCAACAAAGATGATCAGGGGACTGGAGGCTAAAACATACAAGGAACGGTTTCTGGATTTGGGAATGTCCAGTTTAATGAAGAGAAGGACGAGGGGGGACATGATAGCAGGGTTCCAAAGAAGAGGGAGTCAAGCTCTTCTCCAAAGCGCCTGAAGGCAGGACAAGAAGCCATGGATGGAAACTCATCAAGGAGAGAAGCAACCTGGAACTAAGGAGAAACTTCCTGACAGTCAGAACAATTAACCAGTGGAACAACCTGCCTCCAGAAGCGGTGAATGCTCCAACACTGGAAGTCTTTAAGAAGAGACTGGACAGCCATTTGTCTGAAATGGTGTAGGGTTTCCTGCCTGAGCAGGGGGTTGGACTAGATGATCTCCAAGGTCCCTTCCAACTTTATCATTATTAAATAGGTTCTCATGAGTACTAGTTATGGCAGTTAGTAATAACTACTGCCATAATAATAGGGCAGCAATGACTGCCATAACTAGTAGCCACGAGATGCTTTTTAGTGTTTTGCGTAGGCTCTTAACCTGGCCCAGCAGGAGAACACGAAGTTACAGCTAATGATTATATTATCATCATTGTGGGGTATAGGGTTTCTTGCCTGAGCAGGGGGTTGGACTAGGTGACCTCCAAGGTCCTTTCCAACTTTATGATTACTATTATTATTATTAAAGCCACAATGGAGCCTCCAAGTCCAGAGGCAGTCTATCTTTGAGGATAGGGAATTAGTAGAGGGAGGAATCTCGTCTGATTGAGGCTGCGAGGGAAGGGAAGGGACCCCCTCGGTCCCCCCCCCAATCTAGGCCCGAGGAGAGCCCCGCATCCCGGCCTCCCTTCCCAGACTGCAGAGCAACGAGAGTCCTCGTCCACTCCTAGAGCGGATCTCACGTCTCCAGAGCAGGCCCGGGTGCCGCCGGCATCCAGCCGGCATCCCAGCCATCCTTGTCCGTGTCCGCCGCTAGACCCGCCCGTTCCCACCGGCCGGCCCTCCCGCCCGCTCCCGCGCCGTCCTTCCGCGCGCCCCCCCTTGCCAACACCCGCCGACCGGCCGCCGACGCAGCCCTCACCTCCGCAGCAGCGGCCCAAACTGGCGGCGGCGAGAAAGGAAAAGGAGGACGAGCCGCGAGGCACGCCGGGACAGGCACTCGAGAAGCCCTCCCTCCACGCCTCCTCGCCGGTCGTTTTTCATGAGGTGGCTATCGGATTTGCCTGACAGAAATCCCTCGGCTCGGGGACGCTTCCTGGGCTCGCCTCGCTTTGTTATTGGGTCGTTTGTTTTTAAGCCATGTCCCCCCCCTGCTCTCTCACGCCCAGGGAGGTATTTGGCGCCCTCGGAGTTCTTAAAGGCCGTCCTAAAATTCACAGGGATTTACATAGCCGCCTTAATCTCGGTCAGGGCCCCTTCGGACGCTTTCTGGTAACCATGGCGACCCCCTCTTTCCTGCGGAGGGAGTCCGTGTGAGTCTCCCCCCAAATCCCTGAAACGGTTTCGCGGTTTCGGGGTCCCCCGGTGCTCCTCGCTAGGTCGGGAAAGGCCTTTTCGCCCAAGCTACGTGGCAGCCCCTCGGTGGCAGAGAAAGGGTCCGACTGGGTTGGTCCTCGGATGGGAGACCACCAGGAGATCCCAGGATAGAGGGGGAAATTTGATTTGATTTGTGACTACTACTGCCCTAAGCAGCATGTAAAATCAAGAGCCACGGCCGGTGCAACATATACATTTTAGGCCAAGGGGAGGCCTTTGGCTGTTCTCAGTAAGGTAGCCAAGGATTACAGCTGGCTTGTCCTTGGATGGGAGACCACCAGGAGATCCCAGGGATGTAGGAGGCGCTGGGATCTACTTCTTTTTTTTAAAGGCTTATCCTGCTGTGCCTCAGAAAAGATGGTACTTGGGGGCCCCCACCAGCACCGTGTCACGCCCTCCTTTGTAAAATTTTGCTGTGATATTAACGTATTCTTATTGTTTTCTTTTTCATTGTTTATTCTCTTGTTCTATTATTTTACATCTATTTTGTTTACCTTTGTTTTCATTTCTTCCTTTTCACTGTTGTAAACCACCCAGAGTAACCCCATGGCAAGATAGGTGGCAAATAAATAAATAAATAAGAAATAATAAAAAATAAGAAATCAAATAATAAAAAATAGAAAATAAAATAAAATAAGAAATAAAATAAATAATAATTAATAAATAAAATAAGAAATAAATAAAATAAGAAATAAGAAATAAATAAAATAATTAATAAAATAAAAAAATAAAAAAATAAAAAATAAATAAATAAAAAATAAAATGAAAATAAGAAATAAAATAAAAATAAATAACATAAATAAATGATAAAATAAAACAATAAAAAATAAAATAAAGTAATAAAAATAATAAATAAAATAATAAATAATAAATAAAATAAATAGAAAATAAAAAATAAAATAAATAAAATAATAAGAAGAAAGAAAATAAATAAAAAATAAAATAATAAAATAAAATAAAGTAAAATAAAATAAATAAAGCAAAACAAATTAAAATAATAAAATAATAAAAAATTAAAAATTAAAACAATTAAAAAAGAAAATAATAAAAATAAATAAAACAAAAAAAATAAGAAATAATATAAAAGAAAATAAAAAATAAAAGAAAATAATACAAAATAAAATTAAGTTAAATATTCCAAGAGCCACAAAACCTGAGTGAGGGGGATTGTCTTTCTAGATCAGTGGTTCTCAACCTTTTTAATGCCGCGACCCCCAACCGGTCGTCAGTCGGGGACTACTCAACCGGTCGTAAGTCGAGGACTACTCAACTGGTGCAGCACCGTTTGCAGAATGGGATTTTTGGTGGGCTCAGCAGGGCAGAGACAGCCTGGACAATTCCTATTGGCTTTGGAAAGCCAATAGAATTAGACTCTATTCAAGAGAGTCTATTCTATTGGCTTTCAACAGCCAATAGAATAAAAGGGAGTAGCACAGCTAAGGAAAAGGGGAGGAAAATGGCGGACTGCGTTGTTTGGCGACCCCCGTGAAATGGTCGTTCGACCCCAAATGGGGTCCCGACCCACAGGTTGAGAACCACTGTTCTAGATCAATTGTATCCAGAGTTTCGGTTTTGCAATGAAAGTGTTTATAAGTACGCTCTGCGCTGGTGCTTGAAACAGTCCTAGTTTCTGATGGTTGGTGTGATCACTGGGAGGGGCTCCTTCCTTTCGGGCAAAGAGATAGCCGAGCTTGGAATCTCCGCTAGGCAGGAAGAGAGCAAAAGTAGACGGACCTTCCCTAGCCATTCCCAGCGTACACCTCATAGTTATGCAGAGACTTGCTTTCCTCCGGCAAGATTCTGTCCATAGGCGCAACGACAATAAAGAGCTCCTTGGAAGCAAGGCCACCGGTCGGTCATTCCCGGCTCTTTGGGCCTGCCAGCTCTCTGAAGCCCAGCCTGCTCTTTCTCTGCGCCAGGGAATCATGGAACTGGATCAAGAACACCACCCCCAAACTGCCCCCTCTGGACGCCATTCGGCTTTCCGCTGTCCTGGAAGACTGCACGGACCAGCTGACCATCCTCGGCTGCATCATGCCCGTTTCCTACGAGGGAAGGAAAGACGTGGAGGATGTAAGTGCCCGCGCCGGGCTGTGAACGACCGTTATTCAAGATGAAGGAAGTAACCTGGAAGGTCGAGTAGTAGACATCTGGCTGGGAAAAGGGGCACAACCACCTACCAACTTTGTGTGCCTGGATGTGGTCCAGGCAGGCCAGAGAAGAGGGTGGAGCGGAAGATCCTGTGATCAACAGGATTTCCTTCTCAGTGATCTAGCCAACCCTCCAGTAGGTTTCACTGTTGGCTGCTGTGGTTGGATAATTCTAAGTCTTCACCTCGTTGCAAAACCCACGGCCATTTATTGACTTATTCGGTGACTTTTTTTCAGGATTTTTTTTCCTAGCAGTCCATGTCCAGCAGGTGGCGCTGGAGGACAATTTTTCAACCTCTGGAATACAGTCAGGATAGGCATCTCCAAACTTGGCTGCTTTAAGACTTGTGGACATCAATTCCCAGAATTCCTCAGCCAGCCATGCTGGCTGAGGAATTCTGGGAGTTGAAGTCCACAAGTCTTAAAGCAGCCGAGTTTGGAGACCCCTAGCTTAGGACCACAACTGACCCCCCCCCCCAATTTCTCCAGTGTTTCTCAACCTTGGCTACTTTAAGAGGGGTCGACTTCAACTCCCAGAATCCCCCAGCCGGTTGTGCTGGCTAGGGAATTCTGGGAGTTGAAGTCCACAAGTCTTAAAGCAGCCGAGTTTGGAGACCCCTAGCTTAGGATCACAACTGACCCCTCCCCAATTTCTCCAGTGTTTACTCAACTCTTGGCTAGGGAATTCTGGGAGTTGAAGTCCACAAGTCTTAAAGCAGCCGAGTTTGGAGACCCCTAGCTTAGGACCACAACTGACCCCCCCCCCCAATTTCTCCAGTGTTTCTCAACTTGGCCTTTAAGAGGGGTCGACTTCAACTCCCAGAATCCCCCAGCCGGTTGTGCTGGCTAGGGAATTCTGGGAGTTGAAGTCCACAAGTCTTAAAGCTGGGAGTTGAAGTCCATCCTTCTTCAACTTGCCAAGATTGAGCAGTACCAGCTCTGGTCTATTTCGAAGGCCTCCTTCCCACGTCTTTCGTTGCCTCTCCTTCAGCTTGACGAACAAGGCATGCAGGACATCCTTACCAGCCAGCAAGAGCTGAGTGCGAAATACAGGAACCTCATGGACAAGAGGGCCGAGAGCCTGGCCAAGATTCCCGTCGAGCTGGGCAAAGTGGCGGAAATTCGGTGGCAGCTCTTGGACACCAGCTCTGACCTGAAGCGGTCCAACCATCTCTTCACCATGGCCACCAGGCAGAGCGTTCTGTCCACAGATGTTCTTCAGAAGGTTCAAGCGGACAGGTAGGACTCCAGGTGGAGAATGGAATATGGAATATTTTATTTATTTATTTATTTATTTATTTATTTACAAATATTTATATGCCGCCCAATCCCAATGGACTCAGGGCGGCGTACAAAGTTAAAAACAGTCATAAAACAATAAAATAAAATAATCCAGTCATACCGCGAGTCCGATCATATCCCGGCCCGCCGAGGACATCAGCCCCAGGCGTGCCGGAACAGGAGAGTTTTAACGGCTTTCTTAAAGGCCGGCAGGGTGGGAGTAGTTCGAACCTCGGGGGGAAGTTGATTCCACCAGGTCGGAGCCACCACAGAAAAGGCCCTTCCCCGAGGGCCCGCCGGCCGACATTGTCTGGCCGACGGGACCTGAAGGAGGCCCAATCTATGGGACCTCACCGGTCTCTGGGAACTGTGCGGCAGTTAGAAGCTGGAAGGAGGTCTTCTTCTCCTCCTCCTCCTCCTCTTCCACCTCACTTCTAGCACTGATGATGTAACCTAGTTGGGTCATGAAAAGTTTGCAAGAAAACCACCAAGCTCAGAGAGCACCAAGGACCCCATAGTCTTCTTCTTCCTCCCCATCCTCCTCCCCATCCTCCTCCTCGTCCTCCTCGCTTCTAGCACTGATGATGTAACCTAGTTGGGTGATGAAATGTCTGTAAGAAAACCACCAAGCTCAGAGAGCACCTAGGACACCACAGTATCCTCATCATCATCATCTCTTCTAGCACTGATGATGTAACTCTGTTGGGTGATGAAATGTCTGTAAGAAAACCACCAAGCTCAGAGAGCACCTAGGACACCACAGTATCCTCCTCCTTCTCCTTCCTTCAAGCACTGATGATGTAACCTAGTTGGGTCATGAAATGTCTGCAAAAAACCCACCAAGCTCAGAGAGCACCAAGGGCCTCATAGTCTTCCTCCTCCTCCTCCTCCTCCTCCTCCTCCTCCTCCTCCTCCTCCTCCATAAAGCCCTCTCCCTTCTAGCACTGATGATGTTACTCAGTTGGTTGATGAAACGTCTCCAAGAAACCCACCCAGCTCAGAGAGCACTAAGGACTCCCCCCCCCCTGAGCCCCCTTTCTGCTGGGCTGTCGAGCTGACCCCTTCCCCTCTCCTCCCGGCAGGCAATACTCGAGCAATGTGCTGGAAGGCACCATGGATGAAATGCTGATGCTGAGGACCTTCCGCACCCTGCAGTTGGCCGTGACTATGGAAAGGGACAAGAAGACCAATCTTCAGAACCTGGTCCTCAGGTCACCTCTTCCATCTCCCTTGACTCCGAGGGCTTTTGTGCCGGGGAGACACGGCCTGCAATGCCTTTGGCTTGGGGAGGGCAGATCTGAACAGGGAGGGGTCTGTCTTTGTGTGTATGTAGGGGTGTGTGTGTGTGTGTGTGTGTATGTGATAGAGATAGATAGATAGATAGATAGATAGATAGATAGATAGATAGATAGATAGATAGATAATGATACACAGATAAATAGATAGATATAGAGAGACATAGATAGATAGACCGAAAGAAAGACAGATAGATATATAGAGACACAGTTAGATAGATATATAGAGACATAGAGACATATAGAAAGATAAAGATATAGATAGATAGATAGATAGATAGATAGATAGATAGATAGATAGATAGGTAGGTAGGTAAGTAGATAGATAGACAGAAAGAAACAGATATAGAGACATAGATAGATAGATAGATAGATAGATAGATAGATAGATAGATAGATAGATAGATAGATAGATAGATGATGGATGGATGGATGGATGAATCAAGATGTGAACTTGATTCTATGCCTCTCTTTATGCAACCCAGGACTGTATTAGTGTAAATGGGCTGAAGCAGAATGGCACACCTACTTAAAACTAGCTGTGCCCCTAGTTCAGGGGTAGGCAACCTTTTGCTCTTTTATGACTCGTGGACTTCAACTCCCAGAATTCCTGAGCCAGGGTGGGGAACTATGGCCCCTTCATGACTTGCGGACTTCAACTCCCAGAATTCCTGAGCCAGCGTGAGGGAACTATGGCCCCTTCATGACTCGTGGACTTCAACTCCCAGAATTCCTGAGCCAGCCTGGCTCAGTTTGGAAACCTCTCCCTTTCTCCTCAGCATGGCTGGCTCAGGAATTCTGGGAGTTGAAGTCCACGAGTCATAAAAGAGCCCAGGTTGCCTACCCCTGCCCTAGTTAGACCCTCAACCACATGTTGCTAGGTGGAAGGGCTCAGATGCCGGGTAATTCCCTGATTTTTTTGGCGGGACGTGTTGAGACGGAACTCTTTTTTTTTTCCCTTGAGGCTGTTTTTCCTCTTATTCCATGTTCTTTGGAAAGCTATAACGCCGGGGTGTCCGACCTGAACAGCTTTGTGGACTTCCAACTCCCAGAATTCCTCAGCCAGTTATTATTTTTTTTTCCAGGGCTGCCGTAACTTTGAACGGTTCCGAAACGAATAGTTATAAGTCAAGGACTTACCTCTGTCCCTTGCTGCCCCACAAGGTTTCAGAAATGGTCTCCTTTGTTCTCAACACAGTTCTCTCTACCCCCCCCCCCAACCACCACCCCCCCCCAATTTACAGGGAAGAGATGGGAAGGAAGAAAATCAAAAGTCTTCAGAAACAGCTCGGTGAGGTCAAGAAGGAGAAGGATTACGAGCTGCAGGTCAGCCTGAAAAAAGGGTCTTTTTCCCAAGCCCTGACGATTAAGTGTTAATACGGCTTTACAAGGCCTTGGTAATAGTAACAGTAGTAAAGTTGGAAGGGACCTTGGAGGTCATCTAGTCCAACCCCCTGCTCAGGCAGGAAACCCTACACCATTTCGGACAAATGGCTGTCCAGTCTCTTCTTAAGGCCACACTTGGAATCCTGCATCCAGTTTTGCTCACCACGATGTAAAAAAGATGCTGAGACTCTAGAAAGAGTACAGAGAAGAGCAACAAAGAGGATCAGGGGGTTGGAGGCTAAAGCATATAAGGAAAGGTTGATGGAATTGTGAAGGACGAGGGGGGACAGGATAGCAGTGTTCCAGTATTTGAGGGGCTGCCCCAAAGAAGAGGGAGTCAAGCTCTTCTCCAAAGCGCCTGAAGGCAGGACAAGAAGCAACGGATGGAAACTCATCAAGGAGAGAAGCAACCTAGAACTAAGGAGAAACTTCCTGACAGTTAGAACAATTAACCAGTGGAACAACCTGCCTCCAGAAGTGGTGAATGCTTCAACACTGGAGGTTTTTAAGAAGAGACTGGACAGCCATTTGTCCGAAATGGTACAGGGTTTCCTGCCTGAGCAGGGGGTTGGACTAGATGACCTCCAAGGTCCCAACTGTATTAAGTAAAAGGGCTCAGCTTTTGGGATATCGGAATGGGCTAATCCAGGGGTCCCCATCCTGTGGGCTGTGGCCCACCATCGGTCCATGGCCTATTTGCAATCAACCCACGCAAGTGGCAGGCTGGCGCACGCACCGATCCACTCTTGCGAGCGTTGCGGGTGCTCACGGCCCCACTTGCGTGAGCATCAAGACACTCTCTTAGCCTCACTCGTGTGAGGGATGGGAGCCTGCCCCCTCCCGCAAAAAAACCATCCCCCCCTTTTCCCCCCCACCCCCTGGGCTGCCAATCCAGAAAGGTTGGGGAACTCTAGGCCAGTGATGGCGAACCTTTTAGAGCAGTGGTTCTCAACCTTTTTAATGCCGCGACCCCCAACCGGTCGTAAGTCGAGGACTACTCAACCGGTCGTAAGTCGAGGACTACTTGACTGGTGCAGCACCGTTTGCAGAATGGGACTTTTGGCGGGCTCAGGAGGGCTGAGACAGCCTGGACAATTCCTATTGGCTTTGGAAAGCCAATAGAATGAGACTCTATTCAAGAGAGTCTATTCTATTGGCTTTCAAAAGCCAATAGAATAAAAGGGAGTAGCACAGCTAAGGAAAAGGGGGGGGGGGAAAAATGGCGGACTGCGTTGTTTGGCGACCCCCGTGAAATGGTCGTTCGACCCCAAATGGGGTCCCCACCCACAGGTTGAGAACCGCTGTTTTAGAGACCGAGGGCCCAAACCGCAACCGCAAACCCACTTTATTTATCGCAAAGTGCCAGGGCCGCATCAGTATTGTGGTGCCTTCAGGGGGGGAGGCAGTGGGGGGGGGCATGGCCCACTGGCTGGATGTGGCTGCGGTGGTCATGGCAGACTGGGTGGCCACGGCCGGGCTGGGCGTGGCCACCTCGATGTTGCTCGTGGGAGGGGGACATCTGTGGGGGCTGGGCAGGATTGGGGGAGATCCAGGGGATCTCTGGTGGGTGGGGCGGTGGGCAGGAGGTTTTTGCTGTAGTGTGAGGCAGGGGGTAGGGCAGAGGTGCCATTGCTGCAGAGCAAGGCGAGGCGAGGCAGGGGCGGCCGCTGCCCGACACCATCGGCCCCCCGCACATAGAGGCCAGCGAGCGCATGGGGGCATGCTCTACCACCGCTACTCCAGCTTGCTAGCTGGCCGCTTTGCCTCCTTTGCGCTGGGCGGGGCTGTTGCTCCGTGTGCCAGCGGTGGCCTAATGGACCTGCCCGAGATGCTGGCGACGACGGGCGTGCCCACAGAGAGGGCTCTGAGTGCCGCCTCTGGCACCCGTGCCATAGGTTCGCCACCACTGCTCTAGTCTAACCGCCTTGGGTGGGAAATCAGGACATAAGCAGGGCCCTTTCGGAGAGGACCCTGGCCCGTCTCTTCCACCAGTGCCCACCCACTCAGTTACCCGAGGAAGCCCACTGGTCTCCCAGCACGTCGCCTTGAGCGGCGACCCCACTCCTCCAAGACCGCCGGCCTCCACCAAGTGCCTCCACCCGGTTTCGTAAGCCGGTCCGTAGCCAGTTCCAAAGTTGAACTGTGTGTGGTGTTAAAAAAAAATCACAATGTTGAGGGACACCACTGAACAGCATCCCTCCAAGCCCATTCCCAGGGGTTGTCGGTTTTAGACGTGGCCTAATGGATTCCCAGATGCCAAATGGAAGCCCACTGCCTGGAGAACTCCATCGCCTGTGAAACTGCTTGGGAAAAAAAACACAAAGTTTGCACATTGGAGAGGTTGTGAGCCTTCCTCCTTTGGAAAAGGATCCAGCCCTGGCTCAGGTTGTCCTCCCCGTCTGAGAAGAGCCCACTTTCCAACAGTCCAATGGGAGAGAATCTCCGTAGCTCAGGGCTGAACTGTGGGGTCCTGGGTGCTCTCTGAGCTTGGCAGATTTCTTGCAGACGTTTCACGACCCAATTAGGGAACGTCATCAGTGCTAGAAGGGGTTTGCAGGCAGGAGGAGGGAGATGGAGATGATGGAGGAGGAGGAGGAGAAGGAGGTGGAGGAGGAGGACAATTAGAAGACCCTTGGTGATCTCTGACCTGGGTTATTTTCTTGCAGACGTTTCACAACCCAATTAAGGAACGTCATCAGTGCTAGAAGGGGTTTGCAGGGAGGAGGAGGAGGGAGATGGAGATGATGGAGGAGGAGGAGGAGGAGGAGGAGGAGGAGGAGGAGGAGGAGGAGGAGAAGGAGGTGGTGGTGGTGCTGGAGGAGGAGGAGGAGGACAATTACAGGATCCTTGGTAGTCTCTGACCTGGGTTATTTTCTTGCAGACGTTTCACAACCCAATTAGGGAACGTCATCAGTGCTAGAAGGGGTTTGCAGGGAGGAGGAGGGAGATGGAGATGATGGAGGAGGAGGAGGAGGAGGAGGAGGAGGAGGAGGAGGAGGAGGAGGAGGAGGAGGAGGAGGAGGAGGAGGAGGAGGAGGAGAATTACGGGATCCTTGGTGGTGTCTGACCTGGGTGGTTTTCTTACAGATTTCACGACCCAATTAGGGAACGTCATCAGTGCTAGAAGGGGTTTGCAGGGAGGAAGAGGAGGGAGATGGAGATGATGGAGGAGGAAGAGGAGGAGGAGGTGGAGGAGGAGGACGACAACTACGACTGTGACTGTGGGGCCTCTGACCTGGGTTGTTTTCTTGCAGACGTTTCACAACCCAATTAGCGAAGGTCATCAGTGCTAGAAGGGAGTGGGGTGTGGGACTGGGAGGAGGACTAGGACTGTGGGGGTCATTGGGGCTCTCTGAGCTTGGTGGTTTTCTTGCAGACATTTCATGACCCAACTAGGGAACATCATCAGGGCTAGAAGGGAGTGTATGTAAATAGGGAGAGAACTCCATTCTCTTCTAGCACGGGATGTCACTTCGTTTGATAATGAAATATCTGCAAGAAAAAGACCAAGTTTAAAGACGACCAAGGACCCCACAGTCCTCCTCCTCCTCCTCCTCCTCCTCCTCCTCCTCCTCCTCCTCCTCCTCCTCCTCCTCCTCCTCCTCCTCCGTTTCTTCTCCACTCTGCAAACCCTTCTAGCACTGATGACGTTACCTAGTTGGGTACCAAGTCCAGTCTGGATGGCCACCTCCGGGGATGGACCTGACTAGCAGACCTTCCTTCCTTTTTGTTGTCCACCACCACCACCACCACCATCATCCTGGTCCTTTCCCAGAACCGGAACGAGATGATTGCCTACCTCAAGGACCAGCTTCAGGAGATGAAGGCCAAAACGGACATGGAGAATCGCTACGTCAAGAAGGACACCGATCTCCATGTAGCCCAAGTGCAGAAGAAGTGCTCGTTGACCGAGAACGATCTGCAGAATGAAATTGAGGTACGTTTCCCTTTGGGGGGGGGGAGGAGGAGGGCTTTCTTGAGGGGGGGGAGAGGAGAGAGATAGGGAGACACCCAAGTGCCCAAATTTAGACCGCATGACGGTGAGGATGTCGCGACGGCCGGAACAGTCGTGTCCCGTTTTTCAACGCTGTTGTGTAAATAATTATAGTTGACCCTTTCTAAGCAGTAGGTCCCAGGCCTAACATGATGCTGGCGAAGGAGCCCGAATGAGAGAGAGGTTCCTGCAGACTCGGGACACATGAAGCTCCATCGTCAGCAGATTTGGCTAGCCTTCCTCTCCTAGGTTCACCCCACAGGGGTTTCCTTCACCAAAGGAACTTGGTTCTTATCTCACTGCGTTTCCAAGAATAGCTTCTTCTTCTTCTTCTTCTTCTTCTTCTTCTTCTTCTTCTTCTTCTTCTTCTTCTTCTTCTTCTTCTTCTTCTTCTTCTCTTCTTCTTTTTCTTCTTCTTCTTAATATTAATATTATTATTCTTATTATTTTCTTCTTCTTCTTTCTTCTCCTCCTCCTCCTCCTGTTCTTCATTCTTCTTCTTCTTCTTCTTCTTCTTCTTCTTCTTCTTCTTCTTCTTCTTCTTCTCCTCCTCCTCCTCCTCCTCCTCCTCCTCCTCCTCCTCCTCCTAGGGTTGGACTAGAAGACCTCCAACGTCCCTTCCAACTACTACTACTACTACTTCTTCTTCTTCTTCTTCTTCTTCTTCTTCTTCTTCTTCTTCTTCTTCTTCTTCTTCTTCTTCTTCTTCTTCCTTCTCCTCCTCCTCCTCCTCCTCCTTCTCTTCTTCTTCTTCTTCTTCTTCCTTCTCCTCCTTCTCCTTCTCCTCCTCCTCCTCCTCCTCCTCTTCTTCTTCTTCTTCTTCTTCTTCTTCTTCTTCTTCTTCTTCTTCTTCTTCTTCTTCTTCTTCGTCTTCTTCTTCTTCTTCTTCTTCTTCTTCTTCTTGTCCTCCTTCCTCCTTCTCTTCCTTCTTCTTTCTCTTCCTTCTTCTTCTTCTTTCTCCTCCTCCTCCTTCTTCTCCTTCCTTCTTCCTTCTTTTTCCTTTTCCCTTCTTTTCCTTCTTCTCCTTCTTCCTTCTTCTTCTTCTTCTTCTTCTTCTTCTTCTTCTTCTTCTTCTTCTTCTTCTTCTTCTTCTTCTTCTTCTTCTTCTTCTTCTTCTTCTTCTAGGGTTGGACTAGAAGACCTCCAACATCCCTTCCAACTACTACTTCTTCTTCTTCTTCTTCTTCTTCTTCTTCTTCTTCTTCTTCTTCTTCTTCTTCTTCTTCTTCTTCTTCTTCTTCTTCTTCTTCTTCTTCTTCTTCTTCTTCTTCTTCTTCTTCTTCTTCTAGGGTTGGACTAGAAGACCTCCAACGTCCCTTCCAACTTCTTCTTCTTCTTCTTCTTCTTCTTCTTCTTCTTCTTCTTCTTCTTCTTCTTCTTCTTCTTCTTCTTCTTCTTCTTCTCCTCCTCCTCTTCCTCCTCCTTCCTTCTTCTCCTCTTCTTCCTCCTCCTCCTTCTTCTCCTCCTCCTTCTTCCTCTTCCTCCTCCTCTTCTCCTCCTCCTCCTTCTCTGCGTTCCTGCTCTTGACTAACTAAAAAACTGGGATTTTCCAGTCGCAAAATCTTGATGTATCTTGCTTTGTTCATCCCCAGCTTTCATTCTTCGACAGCACATTGTGCTCTTGGGCACATGTATGGACCACGGCTGCAACGTCCCGGGGTCATGCAATGGCCACAGGCGACATAAGGTCGTAAATTCAGGCATGGATTGCTTAACCATCACTTTGCTTACCAATGGAAATTCTGGTCCCAATGATAGTCGTACGCCCAGGGTTCCCTGCAATAGATACCCTGCCCCTTTGCCATCCATCCATCCATCCTTCAGTCTGATAATCGGGGGGGGGGGGAGAGACACGCCGTGTGGGATCGCCATTTTTGATGACAGCCCTTTTCTTCTCCTCCCGGACTTCAGAAGCTGCGCAATGAAATGGATCAAGAGATCCGAGTCCACATGGAGATCGAGGCTTTCCTGAAGCAGCAGCAAACGGTGGGTGACGACTCTGAACTTCATTTCTCTGAAAGGAACAGAACGAGAGTTGGATGGGGCCTTGGAGGTCTTCTAGTCCAACCCCCTGCTCAGGCAGGAGACGCATCTCAGACAAATGGCTGCCAATTTCCTCTTAAAAGCCTCCAGGGTTGGAGCACCTACAACTTCTGGAGGCAGGTGGTTCCACTGGTTAATTGTTCTCACTGTCAGGAAGTTTCTCCTTAGTTCCAGGTTGCTTCTCTCCTTGGTGAGTTTCCACCCGTTGCTTCTTGTTCTGCCTTCAGGGGCTTTGGAGAAGAGCTTGACTCCCTCTTCTTTGGGGCAGCCCCTGAGATACTGGAACTCTGCTATCATGTCACCCCTAATCCTAAACTGGTTTTTCAGGAGGCAACTGGACTTTCTTGTTTTTTTTTTGAAGACGTTTTGCTTCTCGTCCCAGAAGCTTCTTCAGCTCTGACTGGATGGTGGGGAATGGAATGAGTTACAGTTATAGATTGGACAAACATTTGTCTGAAATGGCCTAGGGCAGGGGTAGGCAACCTTGGCTCTTTTATGACTCGTGGACTGCAACTCCCAGAATTCCTGAGCCAGCATGGCTTTCACCTTCCCCCTCAGCATGGCTGGCTCAGGAATTCTGGGAGTTGAAGTCCACGAGTCATAAAAGAGCCAAGGTTGCCTACCCCTGTGGCTTAAGCGCACACCTGCAGTTGTTAAATTAGTAACACGGTTGTGAAGTGAATCTGGATTCCCCCATTGATTAGGCTCGTCAGAAGGTCGCAAAAGGGAGAGAAGCAACCTAGAACTAAGGAGAAACAATTAACCAGTGGAACTATTTGCCACCAGAAGTTCTGGGTGCTTCATCACTGGATGCTTTGAAGAAGAGACTGGACAGCCACTTGTCTGGAATGGTCTAGGCCAGGGGTAGGTCACCTGGTGGACTGGTGGACTTCAACTCCCAGAATCCCTGAGCCAGCATGGGGGAACTATGGCCCCTTCATGACTCGTGGACCAACTCCCAGAATTCCTGAGCCAGCCATGCTGAGGGGAAAAGGAGAGGTTTCCAAACTGAGCCATGCTGGCTGAGGAATTCTGGGAGTTGAAGTCCACGAGTCATGAAGGGGCCATAGTTCCCCCATGCTGGCTCAGGAATTCTGGGAGTTGAAGTCCAAGAGTCATGAAGGGGCCATAGTTCCCCCATGCTTGCTCAGGAATTCTGGGAGTTGAAGTCTGCGAGTCATAAAAGAGCCAAGGTTGCCTACCCCTGGTATAGGGTATACTGTTTGGGCAGGGGGTTGGACTAGAAGACCTCCAGGGTCCCTTCCAGTCCTATTCTACGATCTATGATTTTTGTTAGCCGAGTCAGGAGTTGAACCTGGTCAGTCGGACAGAGGAGCAAACTCTGATTGCTGGCTTGGCTGGCCGTCTCCCTCAGTGGATTTAAGCTCCCAGAATTCCTGACCTCGCACGGCCGCTGCTCGGAATTCTGGGAGTCCGTCCACCTGTCCGCAGGGCGAGGGGCTGGCAGGACGACTGCGGCTCGGCAGTCGGGAGGGCAAAACTGGCATGAAATTGTACATGTCGTAAGGAGAAACCGGAGTTGGTGAGATGCCAAGTGTGGAGGTGGCTAACGTTCGTCTGACATCACTAGTCCTTGACTTACGACCGCAACTGAGATTTCTGCTGCTAAGTGAGACATTTGTTACGGGAGGTTTGCCCCATTTTACGTCCTTTGGGAAGCGAATCCCTGCAGTGGTTCAGTTATTCTCACACGGTCGTTAAGCGAACCCCGCTTCCCCACCTTGGCTTCGTTTGCCAGAAGGTCGCCAAAGGGGATGGCGTGACCCCCCCCAGGACACGGCGACCGTCGTAAATGCGAGTCAGTTGCCAAGCGTCTGAAATTTGATCACTGGGGGATGCTGCAACGGTCAGACGTGTGAAAACCGGTCGTAAGTCCCTTTTCCCAGTGCCGTTGTGAACTTTGCGCCCTCACTAAATGGACTGTTGTAAGTCAAGGACTTGCCTGTAGCAGAAAACACGGTGTTGAGATGTAAGCGACTTGGAGCGTGGGAGGTGGGAAGAACAAAGTTGGTGTGCGTGTGTGTGTTCGTGTAGCTCAAAAAGAAGCAGTTGGGAAGGAAGTTGATAGGGAGAGTCAAGGGGCATACCGGTGTTCTGGGTCCTGTGTTCGAATCTGGCACTTTCAAAATAGGTGGACTTCAATTCCGGGAGTTGAAGTCCACGTGCCTTAAAAAGGTGCTTAGTGACCACACATGCCTCTCACAAACAGAGCATAGAAGAGAAGCTGGAGTACTGGATGGAGAAGTACGAAAAGGAAACCGAGGCCAAGCAACAGGCCCTCAACAACCTGAAGTCCTCGCGAACGGCGGACCAGGCCTCTCTGCAAGAACTGGCCAAGCAGGTAGGAAGGGACACGCCAGCCGTTCCCATCGGCACCCCCCCATTTCAAGGTGAATGAGGAGGGGGAACACCGTCTGGGATCCGGAGCAGCTGCATGGGCACCTGCAAAGATCTCAGCAGAGGAGGGCCGAGTGCGAGGGGAGTGTGGGCTCAGGGTCATCTGCAGGGTGCGGTGAAAAGATGGCGGCCCTACGGGCAAGATCTGTTTTTTATTGGCGTATCCGTGTTTGGTGTAGCCGTCAAGGAGCTGGCCGAGAAACCAGGAGATTGTGAGTTGTAGTTCCGTCTTAGGCATGAAAGCTGGCTGGGTGACTTTGGGCCAATCACCAGGAGAGAGTAAGTTCTAGTCCCACCTTAGGTAGGAAAGCCAGCTGGATGACTTTGGGCCAATCACCAGGAGACAGTGAGTTCTAGTTCCGCCTTAGGCATGGAAGCCAGCTGGGTGACTTTGGACCAATCACCAGGAGACGGTGAGTTCTAGTTCCGCCTTAGGCATGGAAGCCAGCTGGGTGACTTTGGACCAATCACCAGGAGACGGTGAGTTCTAGTTCCACCTTAGGCACGAAAGCCAGCTGGGTTACTTTGGACCAATCACCAGGAGATGGTGAGTTCTAATCCTGCCTTAGGCATGAAAGCCAGCTGGGTTACTTTGGACCAATCCCCAGGAGACGGTGAGTTCTAGTTCCGCCTTAGGCAGGAAAGCCGGATGGGTGACTTTGGACCAATCACCAGGAAAGAGTAAGTTCTAGTCCTGCCTTAGGCAGGAAAACCAGCTGGGTGATTCTGGGCCCATCACCAGGAGATGGTGAGTTCTAGTTCCACCTTAGATAGGAAAGCCAGCTGGGTGACTTTGGACCAATCACCGGGAGACGGTGAGTTCTAGTTCCGCTTTAGGTATGGAAGTCAGCTAGGTATCCTTGGGTCAATCACCTGGCCCGAATTTAAAAAAACCCCAACCATTTTTTCAAACTGGGGGGAGGAACAGAGACACCTCCCTCCCAGACCAGCCCCCACCCACCCCACTAAGAGAAGACTAAGTGCGAATTCAGAGAGGAAGCTTCAGTTTCCCAAAGAGGAGACTCCAAAGCCCATCTCTCCTCTCGCTTTCGGCAGTGCCGTGCGTGCGAGCTGGCGATCATCGAGGACCGGAAGGAGAAAGAGAACGCGAGGAAGAAGGTCGAGCAAGATGCCCTGGAGATGAAGAGCATCTTGAAGGTAAGAGGAAGGCTCCATCCTGGGCTGCCTCAGAGGTGGGGAACGATGGCCCCTTCATGACTTGCGGACTTCAACTCCCAGAATTCCTCAGCCAGGCATGCTGGCTGAGGAATTCTGGGAGTTGAAGTCCACAAGCCATGAGGAGGGCCATAGTTCCCCCATGCTGGCTGAGGAATTCTGGGAGTTGAAGTCCACAAGCCATGAGGGGGGCCATAGTTCCCCCATGCTGGCTGAGGAATTCTGGGAGTTGAAGTCCGCCAGTCATGAGGGGGCCATAGTTCCCCCACGCTGGCTCAGGAATTCTGGGAGTTGAAGTCTGCGAGTCATGGCCATAGTTCCCTCATGCTGGCTGAGGAATTCTGGGAGTTGAAGTCCACGAGTCATGAAGGGGCCATAGTTCCCTCATGCTGGCTGAGGAATTCTGGGAGTTGAAGTCCGTGAGTCATGAAGGGGCCATAGTTCCCCTATGCTGGCTGAGGAATTCTGAGAGTTGAAGTCCATGAGTCATGAAGGGGCCGTAATTCCCCCATGCTGGCTGAGGAATTCTGGGAGTTGAAGTCCACAAGCCATGAGGGGGGCCATAGTTCCCCCATGCTGGCTGAGGAATTCTGGGAGTTGAAGTCCACGAGTCATGAAGGGGCCGTAGTTCCCCACCTCTGGGCCGCAAAGGCTCAAAAGCTGCTCCCTCCCTCCCACCCTTTACACACGGAGTCCTTGACTCACAACTCAGCCCCAAACTTCTCTAAGCCAGGCAGCTGCCCAGTTGTGTTTGGGGGTTACCTTGTTTTGCCGATGCCGGTCTTCCTTTCAGCTGCAGGCCTGGTGGAGAGGCATGATGGTCCGCCGATTCCTCGGTCCTTACAGAAACCTCAAGAAAATGCTGGAGGAAGAGCCGGTCAGCAAAGAGAAAGGGAAGAAAGGGAAAGCCGGGCCGAAGAAGAAAAAGTGATGGGAAGAGGACGACCATCCCCAGGTCCAGTTTGGGCACACTGGAGAAGAGAGCAGCTCTGCAATTTGCCCAGAGGATCCGAAATAATTAGAAATATTCTGTCTTCAAGCACTTCTGTCTCTCATTTGGGGAGGACCCATCCTGGGGTCTCTAAGCCAGTGTCTTTTTTGTTTTTCATTTAAAAAAAAATAAAGGAAAAAGGGAAGCTGGCTAATAAGTCCAACAAGGTGCCCATGCTTTACACTGGTGATTCTAAAAGAGGATGCAAATAGTGTGGGGGTTCAATGAAGTTTGATTGTCCTAGTGGACAATCACCTAAATAGGAGCCAGCTGTGTGTTGCAGCTGCCAAAAAGGCCAACACAGTGCTGGGCTGCATTAACAGGGAGAGAGAATCAAGATCACGTGAAGTGTTAATGCCACTTTACAAGGCCTTGGTAAGGCCACACTTGGAATACGGCATCCAGTTTTGGTCACCACGATGTAAAAAAGATGTTAAGACTCTAGAAAGAGTACAGAGAAGAGCAACAAAGGTGATTAGGGGACTGGAGGCTAAAGCACATAAGGAACGGTTGCAGCAATTGGGTATCTCTAGTTTAATGAAGAGAAGGACGAGGGGGGACATGATAGCAGTATTCCAGTACTCAGGGGCTGCCCCAAAGAAGAGGGAGTCAAGCTCTTCTCCAAAGCACCTGAAGGCCGGACAAGAAGCAACGGATGGAAACTAATCAAGGAGAGAAGCAACCTAGAACTAAGGAGAAACTTCCTGACAGTTAGAACAATTAACCAATGGAACTACCTGCTTCCAGAAGCGGTGAATACTCCAACACTGGAAGCTTTTAAGAAGAGACTGGACAGCTATTTGTCTGAAATGGTATAGGGTTTCCTGCCTGAGCAGGGGGTTGGACTAGATGACCTCCAAGGTCCCTTCCAACTATATTATTATTATTAAAACCAAAATTGCACCCAGAATCTCCATTGCGGGGTTTTCTAGTCCAAGTAAGCATGGAAGCTGATAGGGCTGAGCTGGGGATCAGACTGGAGCAACGAAAAGGGGGAATTCCACTAGTCCTCGACTTACGACCACAATGGAGCCCAAAATTTCCACTGCCGAGTCATTGGTTGAGCGAGTTTTGTGCCCCACTTCACGACCTTTCTTGCCACCGTGATTAAGCGAATCACTGTAGTTGTTAATTAGTCACACGGTTGTTAAATGAAATCTGGCTTTCCCCCGTTGACTTTGCTTGTCACAAGGTGGCAAAAGGGGATCACACAACCCGGGGATATGGCAACTGTCATAAATAGGAGTCAGTTGCCCAGAGTCTGAATTTTGACCACCTGACCGGGGCTGAAGGGATCATGCGGAAAAACCATTGTAAATCACTTCTTTCCGTGACTTATACGTTTGAACAGTCACTAAAGGAACTGTTGTTAAGTTGAAGGCTACCTACGGGCAAGGTCAGAGAGCCCCGGAGATTCCTCATGTCAGCCCTGAGCTACAAATATTCTCCTTTATTAGAAGACCTACCTGTATTTAATGGCCATCAAAAGGCGCTCTTCCATTCAAGAGCAGAAGCTGCAGTCCTAGTAAGAACGTTGTCAACCTATTCTCCAGAGCACCAGAGAGGGCAGGACGAGAAACAAGGGTTGGAAACTGATCAAGGAGAGAAGCAACCTGGAACTGAGGAGAAACTTCTTGACAGTGAGAACAATCAAGCAGTGGAACAGCTTGCCACCAGAAATCGTGGGCGCTCCATCACTGGAGATTTTTGAGAAGAAACTGGACAATCACTTGTCTGAGATGGTATAGGTTCTCCTTGAGTCAGGGGGCTGGATTAGAAGACCTCCAGGTCCCTTCCAGTTCTGTTCTGTTCTATTCTATATCCAATATCTATTCTATTCTAGATCCAGTATCTATTGTATTCAATTCAATTCAATTTCTGTTCTGCATTCTATTCTATATCCAATATCTATTCTATTTCTATTCTGCATTCTATTTCTATATTCTATTTCATTCTATTCTATTCTGCATTCTATTCTAGATCCAATATGTATTCTATTCTATTTTCTATTCTGCATTCTATTCTATATACAGTATCTATTCTATTCCTATTCTGCATTCTATTTCTATTCTTCATTCTATTCTATATTCTATTCTATTCTATTCTATTCTATTCTCTCTTCTAGAGCCAATATCTATTCTATTCTCTATTCTGCATTCTATTCTATTCTATTCTACTCTTAATTTTTTAGAATGAGAATTGGAAGGTGTCATGTTTGACTCACCACGCAAGCCCCCCCCCCACCAGACAGACAACAGAAACAGGGAGGGGAAGGTGGATAGAGAGGCTTGGGAGAGAAATGTGGAATGCAAGGGCCGGTCACCTGCCCAAGGTCGAAAGATGGGGAAGCTCCAAGGCGCTGAGACAGTTTCCCAAAATAAATTGACTACAATTGATGGGTGGACAATGGATTGTGGATGGCCCAGGGGAGAAAAAAAAGGGGATTTTACCTCTGCGACTTTGCCGGTGAAAACGTCAGAACTGGCTTTTCTCTTTCTTCTGCCTATATGGATCGATCAGTAAAGTTCTACTCTTGGTAAAATAATATCTCAGGAGTTTCTTTGGCTGCCTTATGCCAACGGGATGGTTGCCAGAAAGAACTTTAATAATAATAATAGTAGTAATAATAACAATAATAATAAAGTTGGAAGGGACCTTGGAGGTCATCTAGTCCAACCCCCTGCTCAGGCAGGAAACCCTATACCATTTCAGACAAATGGCTGTCCAGTCTCTTCTTAAAAACTTCCAGTGTTGGAGCATTCACCGCTTCTGGAGGCAGGTTGTTCCACTGGTTAACTTTGAAGAGTCCTCAGTATAAGATCTATAGAGTACCCCTGGCAAATAACCACAGGCCCTCTGTCCATCATAAATGAAAAATTAACCCCCAGATCACCCTCCTTCATGCATGGGATATTCACTCCGGATTTCCCACGGCTTTAGCAACCTGGAAATTTGTGCTCTGAAGACACCTGGTGAAGTCACACTGCTATCTTTCCTCTAAAAACCCAAGGCTTACTGGACAATCCCCTTGAAAAGCTGAGCGTTGGAGGAGAAGATTTTGAACTTTATTGCAAAATTATTGTGTAGCCCTTAGTGACAGAAAAACTAATTTAAAGTCCTTGCTAGAAACCGAAAATAGGAGAGATTGGATAAACCTGCTTCGGAATAAAACGCTTCTGTTTGCAGAGGCAGGTTTTAAAGCTTTATTTTTTTTATTTATTTCAAATCACCCAGGTTTGGAGTTTATTATATCAGGTGTGCTAGAAACGGATTGGTAACATATACAGGCAATGGAAAACAAAACCCATGATATCATGACATTTATAATTGATAAGCCTTCCATGGAATGTATTTACAGACATACAAATATAGGAAATATTAAACAAACAAAAAAAATTCTTTGGCTACGCTACTACTTACAACCGGCTTTTCCCCCCAGGGTGGTGCCCTCGAGCTGGGATGGATCACCAATTCTCTTAATTCTGAGCCAGCCACTGGCTGGGGATGAAGGAGATTGTGGTCCAACTCATCTGCCCAGCACTACTAGCTGGGGAAAAACTGAATTACACTTTAGAGTTGGCAGAAACAACAAAAGGGAAGCCCTGATCTTCTGGCCTAGAAAAAATGCAAATTGTGGGGCACTGAAAAAAAACCACAACTTCCAAACAGTTCTATGGAGAACACCGACGTTTTAAAACCAAGACCCTTCATTTCATCAAGATGTAGCACCGGTTACGACAGAAGGAACACGGAAAGATCTCTCTTTCTAACGTAGCTTTGTTAGGAATCGGATCTGCTACGAACGTCACTCAACTGAGGTCATTTTGCAAAACACGAACCTCCGGGCTACTATAAGGAAAAACTTCGTGACAATATCCTGGGAGGCTGAGCTCCGCTTGATTAGCTGGGGATAGTAGCAGCATTAACTCTCTCCTACTCAGTGAAGGAATAAAGCAATTTACTTCCTCTGCAATTCACGCCAACTTCTCCGGGAGAGACAAAAAGAGTTAAGCAGGTATCCTCAGATTTCATCCAGCAAAAATAAAATAAATAAAGGTGGGTCTGCTTTCCACACAGCTACTTCATTTGACCCGGGTTGTTTGGTGGGATTTGGAGGAATTAAGATAGCCTGGATGAGCGATGACCGATTGATACCCAACTGGCATTCACCACCAAGGGATAGATGCCGGGTTGATTCTTGTTAACTTACTCTGGGCATAACTCAATCCTTGGTGGTGAGGATAACGGGGTCAGGTATTCATCAGGATAGGACATTTCTTCCACTGCTCCTCAGAAAATTGGGTGCTAAGGGGGCGAATTCACACTCAAAAGAAAAGGACATTAGAACAGCTACCGGCAAAGGCCAAACTCCTAATGTCAGTTGCAAAGATTCCTGGTTATTTGTAGTTCCTCGATAAAAAAAAAAAATCATAGCATTGAATTAATGTAGCAGAAAATACTGTGTGTGTGTGTATGTGTGTGTGTTCAAGGGACAGGAGGGACCCCCCCCCCGGTCCAACATAATCTTCATTAGAGAACAGTCACCCGTTGTTGCTTCTACAATTTTAACACACCTTTTTTTTGTTGTTTTCATCAACGATAAGAAAAAAGAAAATTGCACATAAATAAAAGCAAAACACAAATCCTCAAGCCAGTTTCAAACCTGCGATTAAGAAAAAAAAAGGATATTTTTTTTTGGTTTGTCTGTTTGTTCGGAGGGTGTCTTTCGGTTTTTTCTTTCTTTTGGTAGAACGATAACCAAATCGTGTTGGCTGAAGGGAGGGGTTTCCTTCCGTGCCACGCAACGCTGAACGCAACAAAGCCGATGCAGCAGGCGGTTATCACACAGGGGCTGCTCGGGGAAGGGAGGGAGGGAGGGATGGGAAGAGAGATGGACTCTGCCTTTTTCCACCTGGCTGAGCTACACCCTTTTTCCACCTGGCTGAGCTACACCTTCTATAGTTTCCTGCACCAGAGGCCAGCAAAGTGTCCTGCTAGGGTAACCCCCCCCACACACACCAGTGCTTGTCTTCTGTGTTCCCGTTTTGACCACAGGAGCGAGCCACTTTTGCAACAAGGCAGACCACGTCTGTTGTGTGTTCATCCCTTCCCTCTTTTTGCTGACACACCAAAGCCAATTCGCACAGCTGAGTTGCAAGGAAGACTTTTTCCAAGCAAAGACACCCAACTCAAGCTGTCTAGGCCAGTGTGGTTCAACCTTGGCCACTTTCAGACGGGTGGATTTCAACTCCCAGAATTCCCCAGCCAGCCAGCATGGCTGGCTGGGGAATTCTGGGAGTTGAAGTCCACCCGTCTGAAAGTGGCCAAGGTGGAACCACACTGGCCTAGGCAAAGAACAGAAACACACACCACTCTCCCAAGAGGGGCAAACAGCTTCAAAATAAACCATTTTCACGCCAAACGTGCCTCAAATGTCCATTTTAATGGGTTGGAAGTGCTTCAGGCTAGAAATTGTGTTCCAACCTCAAAAACAGATTTATCTTCTTGCATTTGAGATTCTGCCCTGAACCAGCTCGGGGTTTGACCGTCGAAAACAAGCTGTTTCTCATTCAAAAGACTTGACCACGCACCCGCGACGGACCCCCAAGGAAAAACGTTTAGGATTTCAAAGGCTCCAAACCTTATAATACTGCAGGAGGGTGGGTGCGAGTAACCCAAGAAGCAGCTTATTAAAACAAATTCGCAAGCAGACAGAATAGGAGATTAGCCCCTTTGAAATTCGAAAACTCAAACCCGCAAAACGAGGCTTCAGAAACGCTGCCTTGGACCCCTTCAAAAAAACCCAACAACCGTATTTTCACTTGCAAAGCCAAGGGTCCCCCAAACTGCAGAAGCCTCGTGCTTTAAAGCAGAAAATGGGACCTTGCAGGCTCTCTGCAGCCCTGGATGGTGTCTTCCAAGCATCTCTTTTTTGTTACAAAGCTGCTTCTGTAAGACGCCAACTCAGCCTTTTGCAAGCCAGAAGCAGCCTGAAAGAAACAACCCAGGACGTGATGGCTATCGGATGCTCTCTTTTTTTTTTTTAATTTTTTGGGCCAAACAGGCTCTGGGTGTGTCCAAGAGGGGTGTGTGGGAGGCCAGTGTTTTTTTTTAAAAAAAACAACAACCAAAACTTAAAAATGTATCAGTGTTTCTCAATCTTGTCAATTTTAAGGCATGTGGATTCAACTCCCAGAATTCCACAGCCAGCATTGCTGGCTGTGGAATTCTGGGAGTTGAAGTCCACATGCCTTAAAATTGTCAAGGTTGCGAAACACAGTGTTAAGTGCATCGCAGAGATGCAGGAAAGCTAGCCTCCTGAGAAAGAGACAAAAATCAAAATAGTGATGGGGGGGGGGAATGGAGAAGGAAAGGGCAAGAAAGAAAGAAATAGGAAACTGTTGCCTATTCCTAGCTTGGCGAAGCGAACAGGAGCTTGAAAACAAACAAGGTTGATCGGACACAACTGGGAGGGGGGGGGAAGCAGGTGGAGCCCCTGCCACTAAATAGAATTTTTAAAAAATGCAGTTATGGTCCTGTGCGCCCATTCCCAAATCCGTTCCAACTAGCCCTCCTTTTTCTTACTTCCTCCACCTTGCACACCTGTCCTGAGTGACCTTACACTAACTTTGCCTTCACTTAGGAGTCCGAGATACACATCTGATTTCACGTGCAAAGTGTTTTTTTTTAAAAAAGTTCCCAGGCCCTGCAACGACCGAGAACAGGGACTTCAGGCAGCTGAATCTCGGCCTGCCGGAATTTCTTTCCGGCCGATGCTTCTCCTGCTACTTGCTCAGGGATTGAACGGCTACACGTTCCTTCAATTGCACACACTCCTTCCCTGGCACCCCAAACATCCACCTTCCTTCGTCTACGGCAGGGATTCCCCAACCTTGGGACATTTTACAAGACTTGTGAACTCCAAACTCCCTGAATTGGCTGGCTGGGGAATTCTGGGAGTTGACGTCCACGAGTCTTAAAAGTAGACAAAGTTGGGGAGCCCTGCTCTAGGGCACAACGGTGCTGCCACATTCCTACTCAAACACCGGAGCGCACGTTTTTCCACTCGCAACGCCAGAAGTGACTTTCGCTGGGATGGTCCTGAAGCATGGAAACCGCATGGAAAGGAACGCGAGGATCCATTTGAATCGGATCTTGAAACTTGGCACTCATTTGTTCTGCCGGACGCGCCATCTCCAGGAGGGGGAGAAAAAAAAAACCTGCAAATTTTATTCAGGTTTGTCTTTTCCACCTGGGCAGAGTTAACGCTGTGGGCAGATTCAAGGCGTTGCAGCTACTTTTCCAACGGGATCCAAACCGTGCCTGGTTCACTTAAAAGAGTCCTTTCCAATCGCCTCCTCTGAATAAGTGCTTAAAGCAGTTTGCAATCTCACCGGCACATTTAATAAAAACTAATTAAGAAAACTAGGAAGGTTAACAGGAGGAAGAAAGCAAAAAAAGCTGGATTGGGTGAGCTGCAGGGGGAGGGGGGGAGCTGCTCTTTCAAGCACCCAGAAGGGCATCTAGCTGTGCCCCGCTTCTTCTTCACTTAACAGGCGTCCTTTATACCTTTATTTCTCGCGCGTCAACTCCTTTGTGCTGCCAAAGGAAAATAAAGGCATTTGAGGGTGGATTATTAAAGTCGTACCAGGCGCTCTTTCAGATCCAGGCATCCCACTTGCCGACTTAAAGCAGAATTAGGCGGGGTTTCTGGCACATCTCAGGACCCGGCGTGCCGAAGGAACGTGCGTTTTTAGAACTTTTTGTTAAGAAACATCTCAAGTGGGAAGTGATGACGACGAAAGGAAGAAAAACGAGCGAAAGAACAGGGGCATTCGGGACTGGCTAACGAGAGTCATCGCTTGAGTCTTTCCGGAGCTGACCTTGTCTGCGGGATTGTTCAGAGCCGAAGTGAAAAAAAAAATAAAACTAAAAATAAAAAAATGCCTCCGTGTTAAACCTACCGAGGACCTCACAATTTCTATGGTGGCGGGATTAAAAAGTCCTTCCTTCTTTTTTCCTCCCCTGCTCGGATTTCCCAAGGAGGAGATTTCAATAGGAAGCCAAGGGGCTCCTGGAGTTTTCACCCCTTCCCCCCCCGCCCCAGAAAAAAAACCGCTTTACAAAGCGCAAAAGTCCAATGGAAACCTCGGTGACCTCCCCCCCAAAATAATAATAATAATAATAAAAAAAGTGGAGAAACCAAAGGCAAAGGATTCCCACCAGGAAGTCGGGGTTCAGCGGTGGCTCTTTGAATGCAAGACCTGTCCGTCCTGGGCGAGGCGGCACTCGCACTCGCCTCCTTCCGTCAGCCCGGGAAGCAGTTCTCAGGGCTCCTTAGGCAGCGCCCAGGTGGTGCTGGTGGTGGTGGTGCTGTTGCTTTGGGGGGGCCCATTCCAGGAGGGTCTGCACAGTCTCTGCCACCTGCGTCAAGCCTTTCTCTTCTAAAATGTGCAGAGGCAAACACAATCGCTCCTACAAGACACACACACACACACACAAGCACAAAAAAAGGAAAAAAAAAAAGGATGATGAAAAATGAGTAGGAAAAAGGGAAGCAAAATTAAATTCCGGACAGGGTGAGCGTGAACGAAGGATGGGATGCTGGCTAACGGGGAGTAGCCTCTAAGGCAACGGTTCTCCACCTGTGGGTCGGGACCCCATTTGGGGTCGAACGACCATTTCACGGGGGTCGCCAAACAACGCAGTCCGCCATTTTTTCCCCCTTTTCCTTAGCTGTGCTACTCCCTTTTATTCTATTGGTTTCGAAAGCCAATAGAAGAGACTCTCTTGAATAGAGTCTAATTCTATTGGCTTTCAAAAGCCAATAGGAAGTGTCCAGGCTGTCTCTGCCCTGCTGAGCCCGCCAAAAGTCCCATTCTGCAAACGGTGCTGCACCAGTCGAGTAGTCCTCGACTTACGACTGGTTGAGTAGTCCTCGACTTACGACCGGTTGGGGGTCGCGGCATTAAAAAGGTTGAGAACCACTGCTCTAAGGGTTGAAATGCAAGATATCCCAAAGCTGCTTTTCCAAAAAGCGACTGGATTTCCTCGCTAATTTATTTATTGAGCGAGTGGCGTTATCATACGCGGACTGGCAATAGATATCGACATTTGGAATAGAACGGAGTCGGAGGGGACCTTGGAGGTCATCTAGTCCAACCCCCTCCTCAGGCAGAAGACCCTGTACCATTTCAGACCAAGGGCTGTCCAGTCTCTTCTTAAAAACTTCCAGTGTTGGAGCACCCACAACTTCTGGAGGCAGGCTGTTCCATGGGCTAATTGTTCTGACTGTCAGGAAGTTTCTCCTTAGTTCTAGTTGTTTCTAGATTTCATCTAGATTAGTAGAATCCAATAAACCCAATAAATGTTAAAAACATCTATGTTCACATAGGAATGTCCAGGCCATCTAATCGCTGAAATGTAGCATCTATATGGGGAAAAAAAACCCAATCAGATCCTGGATCAGTAGATGCCCTCAGCTTACAGCCGGTCACGATGGGATCTACAGTTTGTGGTGGGATCCCACCCGTCGCACTAAGGGGACGTTATTATGCCCCGTTTATTACAGAGGGAGTCCCAACAGACTCTGTGTGAGATACGAATCCTATTCAGGATTGTCCATTGCTGAGGTGGTAGTTCAAATCCTGGAATGTGTGTGTGTGTGTGTGTGTGTGTGTGTGTGTGTGTGTGTGTTCCTTTATATCTCTTTCTATGTCGGGGCGTTCAACAACCCATTGGGGAAAAAATCCTACCTTGGAGAAGCTTTTTGGGTGACAAGCAGAATGTTTTCAAAGGAAAAAAAACAAGGAGGTCCAGTTGCCATTTGGGAAAAGCAGCTTTGGGACAACCATGATCGGAATGATTGGGACTCTCCACAGACTTGAATGCAAGACTCGTGGTGGCTGGGGAGAGCAGCCCACCCTCTCCGACCCCCCCGGGGTCCTGGGACCGCCAGGTTCTACCCCTCCTTCAGCCATCGAAGCTTCCTGGCAGACTTTCGCCCAGTGGTTCTCAACCTTTTTAATGCCGCGACCCCCAACCGGTCGTAAGTCGAGGACTACTCAACCGGTTGTAAGTCGAGGACTACTCAACTGGTGCAGCATCGTTTGCAGAATGGGACTTTTGGCGGGCTCAGCAGGGCAGAGACAGCATGGACAATTCCTATTGGCTTTTGAAAGCCAATAGAATTAGACTCTATTCAAGAGAGTCTATTCTATTGGCTTTCAAAAGCCAATAGAATAAAAGGGAGTAGCACAGCTAGGGAAAAGGGGGAAAAAATGGTGGACTGCGTTGTTTGGCGACCCCCGTGAAATGGTCACTCGACCCCAAATGGGGTCCCGACCCACAGGTTGAGAATCGCTGCTTTAGCCCAACTTACCTCAACGGATGGTGCTGGGGAACATGGAAAGAACGAACAGGATGTATTTGTCTGGCGCTTCCAACATGTGACGGGATGTACAGGTAGCCCTTGACTTGCGACCATTGGTTTAGTGACCGTTCAGAGTTACATCAGCACTGAAAAAAGGGACTCGTGCCCGCTTTTCACACTTAACGGCCACTGCAGCATCCCCATGGTCACGTGATCGAAATGCGGACGCTGGGCCATTGACTCGTATTTATGACGGTCGCAGTGACCCAGGGTCATGTGATCTCCTTTTGCAACCTTCTGACAAGCTAAGTCAATGGGGGAAGCCGGATTCACTTAACAACCATATTACTAACTTAACAGCGGCAGGGATTCACTTAACGACTGCAGCAAGGTCGTCAAATGGGACAAAAACTCACTCAACAACTGGCTTGGCAATGAAAATTTGGGGCTGAGCTGTGGTCGTTTAAGTCAAGGCAAGTCCACCTAGCCAGACTGAGGACTCTGCTATCTGCATCTACACCAGGGGTCTTCAAACTTGGCCCTTTGATGACTTGCGGACTTCAACTCCCAGAATTCCTCAGCCAGGCACGCGTGCCTGGCTGAGGAATTCTGGGAGTTGAAGTCCGCAAGTCATCAAAGGGCCAAGTTTGAAGACCCCTAATCTACACTATACTCTGGGAACTATTTGGGAGAGGCTGTCTTCACCCTCATTCTCTCACACATACAGGCGGTCCTTGACATATGGCCATAATGGAGCCTGCTCATTATATTGTGACGGTTGTACCCTGGGTCCATCGTATAATTGACCTGGTTTCACACACACACACACCCTTCCTGTGGCAGTGATTAAGAGAAGGGGGCAGTTGTAAAAACAGTTCTGAAGCAAGTCCGCTGTTTGGTACGGTAGGATTTTGCCCAAAGTTCACTTCTGATTGTTAGCAAAACCGTCGTAAAATGCAGTTATGTGGCCACAGGGCGCTGCAAACAGCCATAAAGGCAGCTGTGTGACTAAGAGCCCGACCGCCAGAACTTTGGAACTGGCTCGTCACTCCCGTTTCCAGTTACGTCGCAACTTCTAACCATCACTAAGCAAGTGGTCGTAAGTGGACGACTATCTCTAATTCTGTAATATCTGGGCTGAGTTGTCTCTTTTTTTCTCTGGAATACACCCCTCCCTCTTGGAAATCCATCTCCTCACCATCTTGGATCACACAAGGGAAGTCACACACCAGCAACTGTCTTACGGAAATCGGAATTTGCCTCCCAATTCAAATGTTTTGAATTTTTTCTCTCTCTTAAATCACAGAAAATTCCCCCCTTGAGCAGAAGACGCTGACCTTGCTTGCACGTGGGAAGGGGTGTACAAGCAGGGATTCTTCTGTGTGCAAGCCAGGCTAAGTCTCCTGCTGGGTTTGCCTCCCCACCCAGGATCCTTATTGTTCTCCTCGGCTGGACGAAGTGAACCACGACCCCCCAGCCGGATTTGGAGGGGACTTTATTGAACCCACAAAGCCCAAAGCGACAGAGCCCGCACCAACGGGTGTGTACCAAGAGAACGTGCAAAGCGGGTTGCGTGTGTCAAGCACCGGAGGGGGAAAAAAAGCCAAACGCTTGTTAGCAACGGATTTTATAGGAAGTACAAAGAAAACAAGCCAAAGAGAAGGATTTTCGTTGGGCAAACTCATCAATGTGGAGACAGGAGGGCATGTGCAAAAATGACATTTTCCACCGGGCAGAGGTGAATGAACAAAAACTCCTTACTCGGCACAGTTGAATGCAAGCATTCGTTTCTTACAACCCATCTTTGCAAACGTCTCCGTCTAGAAACGTCCGGCAGACGCCAAGATGGACAATGCTTTGTCTAGCTCAGTGGTTCTCAACCTGTGGTCCGCGGATGCCAGTGGGGGGGAGCAGGATGTTGTTATGGGGGGGGGGTGGTGGTGAAAAAAATGTTGATTTAAATCTTAAGTTTGGGGGGGTCCGTGGCCATGGCCACAAAAGGTATTTAAAGCAGGTCCGTGGTAAAGAAAAGGTTGAGAACCACTTAGCTTAGTAGCAGTTCTGGAAAACTGAACATCTACAGGGCTCAGCTGAGGCTTTTCTTGATTTCGAATCTTTGCTGATCTTAAACCAGGAATAGGCAACCTTGACTCTTTTATGACTCGTGGACTTCAACTCCCAGAATTCCTGAGCCAGCGCGGGGGAACTGTGGCCCCTTCATGACTTGCGGACTTCAACTCCCAGAATTCCTGAGCCAGCGTGGAAGAACTATGGCCTCTTCATGACTCATGGACTTCAACTCCCAGAATTCCTGAGCCAGCATGGGGGAACTGTGGCCCCTTCATGACTCACAGACTTCAACTCCCAGAATTCCTCAGACAGCATGGGGGAACTGTGGCCCCTTCATGACTCACGGACTTCAACTCCCAGAATTCCTGAGCCAGCATGGGGGATCTATGGCCCCTTCATGACTCGTGGACTTCAACTCCCAGAATTCCTCAGCCAGCCTGGCTCAGCATGGAAACCTCTCCCTTTCCCCTCAGCATGGCTGGCTGTGGAATTCTGGGAGTTGAAGTCCACATTCCTTAAAATTGTCAAGTTTGGGAAACACTGGTCTACACTATACTCTGGGAACGATTTGGGAGAGGCTGTCTTCACCCTCATTCTCTCACACATACAGGGGGTCCTTGACATATGGCCATAATGGAGCCTGCCCATTATGTTGTGACGGTTGTACACTGGGTCCATCGTATGATCGACCTGGTTTCACACACACACACACACACACACAACCTTCAAGCCCTCACTGAGCTATGTGACTTCAGGGGATAAAAAAATAAATCCTAAATCCGGATTGAAAACTGATGGAACTGTATGACCTATACCAGGGGTCCCCAACCCCCAGTCTGTGGACATACCGGGCCATGGCCTGCCAGCAACCGGTCCACACAAACAAGCAAAGCCCCGTCTGTGGGATGCAGGCAGCACACAAAACCATGCATTCTCCGGTCCGTGGAAAAACCTTTCTCCATGCCCTGGTGCCCAAAAGGTTGGGGACCTCTGACCTATGGGACAAATTAACAACTCCAAAACCAAGCAAATC